TCTTACCATTGCACAATCTTGTCTTAATTATCTAAACAATTTAATTAATCGGTAAGGTAAATTGTATAAATAGCCTTTGAAATTAAGGAGGACGACGGAACGACATAGTAATTAAATAGTAAATTAATTGAATAGAAGAGACTTAAAACCTATATTAAGTTGATGAATATCAAGATTTCCATAAATTTAGAAAATATTCTTACTTCCAGAATTTGATAAGTATATTTATTTGGAGACGTTTACTAAGAAACGATTGTTACATAATGATCAGATTATCATGTCAGTGGAGGTTTATCACACCTCTTGTGTAACATATTTATCCAACTTATGTAACAAAACTATCAGAATTATTTTCCTCGAAATTTCCACGACTTGTCACATTGTCCTAAAAACTATTTTACCGTCATCGATACTGTAACTGTACGTACATAGCTGCACAAATAGTTATCTCGTGTCTCCTCAAACTAAGCCCACCCACCTACAACCCACACACTCTTAATACGTATGTACATCCATCCATATCGAGTCTTACTTAACCAGCCAGCCACCTTCCTTGGCCAACTTTTCTTTCGGAAATTTAATTTTTATCTGCTCCCTGCCAGACAAGAAAGAAAGAAGAGAAGAAGAAGAACGAGGAAAATGCACCCATCCGGCTTTGTGTGCTCGGCCATGTGCACTCAGCAGAGATAAGAAGATAAGACGAACAGAGATGTTAATTTCACACAACTTTCACCACCGCATTAATGCAATATTTCACTGCATTACGTAATTCACTCGGGCTCAGCATCATACCGGGAGGGGTAATAAATCCCAAAATCGCGAAAAAATCGCAAAAAATTCGCAAGTGGCGACCACGTGAATCTAAACGGAAAATATTCAAACGTGCCCACACTTTTAGTATTTTCTACGCAAAACCTTTAAGCTAATTGGACCACCCAGGGAAAATAGTACCAAATATGTCACTCATCCATGTCAGTCCCATTTCAACCGACATAATTTATCCAATGCATAATTACACCCGTCAAAACAATGTCAAATCCGTAATTTTCTCCACATTTCAAGGTTGTTATCTTACAAATTAAATTTTACGACTTGTCCATCCAAACATAATTCAAAACATCGTTCCGTTTTTTTTCTTTGCTATCTCCACATAACTTATCGAATTAGCGTCACCAACGAACCACTCGTCGTCGTCCTCAATGGAAATGAGCCTATCAATGTCACCCCGGGTGGGATTGTCAGTCAAATGAGAGTCGTCATCGCAGTGAGAGGGCTGCTCCTTTATTTAATGGGATTCGACAATAAATAGCTTCGCGACGCAACAAATACCGTTATTATTGGCTTTTTCGAGAAAATTACCCATTTCCGTTTTCAAAATGATGTTATCCTTGAAATCAATCAGCAAGGAAGGACGGACGGTAATTGTACAATTGTGTTGTTACTTACCTACCATGCATATGAGTCGTGAGTATGGAGAAAGAGGTGGAATAATGGTAAGAGAGACGACCCTCCTAATGGGAATAATGTGCGAGTAATGGTCGTCGTCGTCGTAGTGGCGATGACAGACTTTTAAATTGAGGTTAGACACGAGACTAAACGTTGAATGATCAAAATAAATGAAATTATGTGGCTCTGTTCCGTCTGGGGAGGTACGTATCTACTTACGCGACATATTACAGTAGTGCCGCGGTAAACAGCCTCATTCGACTGCATAACTCTAAATTTGGATTACACAACAACTCCCAGAAAAGAAAAGAGATTAAAGAATTTCACGGAATTATTTGATCCATGTTAAATTTGACATTAATGACCCTGCAGTGGAGAAAGTGGTTTCTCTTTCTCCTCCCTTAAAAAATGGAGCATTAACATTCCTTCATTATCTTGAGGTGAGATAAGCCCGTCAAACCACAGCCAGTAATAGACCCTGCATGGTAACTAACATACATAAGTACGCAGGTAGGGTACATGTATAAATATATAGGTCGTTTTGCAGTGCCGGGTTGCATGTCACCCCTGGATTTGGATTGACTCTGATAAGGATAAGAAGGAGACAAAAAGTGGAGAAAGCAATGGAAAGGTTAAACAACTCGACGCCACGCTAGGTCCGAACGACCGACCAACTGGGAATCCAATTATTTCCCTGCAAATTCCAAATTCCCACGGAGACGACGACGGGCAACTAACGTCACTCAATCTCCAATCAGTGGGCACAATCCCGATTTCATTTGACCCTTGCTGACCAGACCACAACCCATTAAGGCCGAGATAGCAGTCGAGTCGTGGTACACACGGCCATTACAAGTACGGAACGGATTTGTTCATATAACTCTTTTTTTCTGGGACCACGATCGAGAGAGAAAGTTAGATTAGTGGAGAAATGACTGCTAGGTACGTAAGTAAATGGCGGAGAGATTGGTTCGATTGCTGAAATAAAATAAGGCATCTTTCTTCGAAAAAATGAGGGTTTATTTTTCAGGGTGATTAGATTTGCGCTCCAATTAGACGGGGATAATAAATTGTGTAAGGTTGTAACAAAGATAAATAATTTTGATAAAAAATATGAATTTTTTAGCACATTTCTAAGCAAAATGGTTCAATTTTGCGTACATATTTATTTAGTAGGATCTCCCCTCTATTCGAACTTTTACAGGATTCCTTACGACATTTTGAGAGGGGATGTCTCATCACGAGAATAATGTGACACATTATATATCCGTTTCCCTTACAACCATGATCATTCCCATAATAATGGCCTGGTGTGGTGGTGAAATGGGTGGAAAAACCAAGTGAGGATTTTTTCGGTTCACTTTGTCCAATCAAAAAGTCACTCCTCAATTTGCAATTTGCACGAAATGCGGTTCACATCCAATAAAATCTAGCCCAAACACAAATCCGCAAATCCTACAATTCTCCTTCGTCTTCTTCCTTAAGCACACAAGTCAATGTCAAAAGTGGGTGGTAGAAGGAAGAAAGTAAGACAAAAGTCGGGATGGATGTCTCGACTTAATCCATCCTTAAAGGCGAACATTACAGTACGAAAACCCACCCAGCCAACATTTCCTGTAAGGCTTTTCCTCCATTTTTTTGGGGAAAAATATTCTTCAAAATTTCGAACCCCATCTGCCCTAGGAGAGAGAGAGAGAGAGAAACCTCTAAAAACCCGAGAAATTGGCCTAGTCAGCACGAAAAGTTGTGGACGATGGATGGATGAATAGCTCAAGAAGATTTGATGGCCAAGCAGGAAGAAGAAGACGAAGAACAAAGAAAAGTGAGCTGGACAAATAAACGGTGGTGGTGGTGCTGGATGGATGACAATGATGTCTCCTATACGTCTCCTATGACAAAGCACTTGGATTTTATAGTGTCCATTTTATACGTCGGGATGTATTACGTTTGTATCTTGTCCCTCCGTTCTTTATTGCAGGACAAGAATCAGAGAAGAAGAAGAAAAAAAACTAGAGCAGACCAGCACAAAATCAAATTGACTCCTTCCAGCGGCTGCCTACGGTCATCTGCCTGATACACAGTTTGCTAAACGTGTGACTATTTGTCTTTTATTTTTTTACAGGCAATTTCAGCAATTTCAAAATTTTTAGAGATCACTTTCTCCCAAAAAATATTAAACTTGCACGAAATATAAGTACGAATCGTGCAACACAACTTTTCTTTTTACTTGCTTTCTCTAAGAGTGAAAGTCGACACGTGGACGGCCAACCACGACCAATTTCTCCAGTCTTAATAACATTTCCTTTTCTTTCTTTGATAACTTTTCCCAATCTTTGTATCTCCCCGACAGATTCGTACTTATCAGGTTTCTCGAGCCTTCACTCCATCAACACGCGTAATGAAACGTGTCATCGTCACGGGTATTATGGTATTTTGTGTCATGATTTTTCTTCTATTTAAGCCTTCTCCAAAAAAATATTTATTAACCTATTTTGAAAATAGATAAATTTCTTCCTTCTTTTCATCTAAATATATTTCCAAAAATAAAATAATAATGAAACTTGATGAAGGAACTACGTATATGAAAAACATATTGAGTGTCAGACCACAAATGGGTCAGAAAATTCGCTCGGTGGCCTTTCCTTTCATTTTACTTGACACACAAAGACAGCCGATTCCACTCTCTCGAACAACAATCTACCTGCTTTCGCCTTCTCTTTTGTATTTTATTATTGAGTGTCGAGAAACAAGTGGACGGAGTGAGTGAGGTGAGGCAAACCAGCCAACCAAGTAGAAGAGTGTGTGTCAAGTAAAGTAGTGGTGGTGCAGATCTAGGGAGAAAAGTTGGTTAATAAAATAATGCTTTCCCTCTTCACCACGTTATCCGCAAAGCTCTTGTGCTTCCTCTTTCCCCCACAATTGCGGAAGAAAGTTGCTGCCGCCGTCCATCCAAAAACAAACGAAGCAAAGTTACTCAAAAGACAAAACAAAGTCAAGTCAGGTAGGTCAACGAGTTCTTGGCTGCTTCATTGACTCGACTGCATCGCCATTGGTTCGAGGGACAAGGCTTCGTTGAAGAGAAAGCCTTGATGAATGGAGAGATACGGAGGAGGAGGCAGAAGAGGAGGACTAAAATGTGGTTCGGTGGAGAAAGTATGTGGTGCCCTTGTACACAAATATACTTACAAAATTGGGATGCAAACCATGTTCAGCCCAGATTATTTTTTTACCATATTTTTTTCAAAGACAAGCTGTTTAGAAACATGATTTAATGCAACAATTTCGCGGATGCGCAAAATTCAGAGCATTAGCAAAGAAAGCAAGAGACGAGATAAGTCTGAGGTGCTGCCACAAGGTACAGATTCCTCGACAATCAAGCGTTTCCGCGAACTTGAGGCGCCTATAACGCTCCGAATTTTGCGCATCTTCGCAAGTGCCGCACAAAATGTTCCTTCTAAACAGTGTACCTTTGAAACTGATATGGAAAAAAAATAATCTGGGTTGAACCTGGTTTGCTTCCCCATTGTTCGAAAGAGACTCAAGGAAAATCTCACCTTTTATTCTTAGAACCTCTTCTTCTTCCTCTTCTTGATCTTCTGGATTCCTTTGTCTCCTCATTCACATCATGCGACTACTCTACCACCACCATTACTGAGAGAAGGAGACAATAGGGTGAGCAAGTATGAAGAGCAGCAGCTACCCGTCCCGTCCACCAAAATAAGTACATGCACCACCAGGCCGGGGAGAAAGTAAAGTAAGTCGTACCAAATCTACTCCTTTATTTCCCACTTGTTCTTCACGATACTGCGGAAGCCAAGTGATGAAGAAGACCAAAGTGAGAAACTTGTGTCAGTCTGGAAGATTTCATGGAGCAAATTAACATCAAATTGCGGCACTACATGGCACACTCGGTCCCACCAAGTTTTCACACTTTTTTCCCTTAATCAAATTGTAAATGGGGATAGTACGAAGAGGGAAAAACTTTAATATTTTTTCTTACGTTTTCTCCTCCTAACAAACTTGCTCTGTTTTCCGCGTATCGTGATAATCCGAACTTTCTTTCTTCTTGTATCGATTCATTAATTCGCACCCAGTTTTGTTTTTGGCATGAATTTCATTCGTATTTTGAGCTCCTTGCCGGAACAAGTTTACATTTATTTTCCCACCCGAGAAACAAAGCCTTCAATTCAAGTCACGACCTTCGGCACGAACTTTTCTTCTTGGTCGTCTTCTTCTTATCCTCTTTTTCGAGCTAATTTGATTCGATTTCGATCCGTGTTTCGTTCTTTTTATTTGGTTTGGAGATAATCCTATATTTATGTTTTCTCTGCTTCGTGTAATAACGGGGTGGGGAGGGAACACCCGTTTTTAACACGATATATATTGCTAAATTGTACACCTCGTGAAATGCTTTCTCTCTCGCACTGGGGTCTTCTAAAGTACGTATGTAGGAAAAAATTGCGTGTGCGATGGAAATATTCACTTGAGTTTGGTCAGTGGGGAAAGAATTGCATGCGAAAAAATGCAAATATGTACGAGTTTGTGTGTCAAGTTTGTTACCAAAAACCGGTGAAGTGAAGTCTCGGTTGGTGCTGTTATGCGACGAAAATGAGAATTTTGGAAAGTTTAGATTTAATATTATTCACAAGATACGTGTCGGCTTTAATTGTTTGTAATTCAAAATATATAACACAATGTATTCCACTTTGTCTTTAAACTTTAAATATTCCACGCATTAAATGTAAACGCACTTACGAAAATGTATTTTTAAACCGTGTCTCACACCAGGAAAAGGAAGTAATACTTTTTAAAAGAAAGTCTTATAATCCTTCCACAACAAATTAAGGAAACAAGTATTTTTATCTCTATCACTTTCTCCCTGCTTCCTCCGATTGTTGGGGAAAGTGGTCTGGTCAAGGTTCCGATTGCTTGAGAGAGAGAAAGATTACACCGGTTCCGCTGAGAGCAAACTGAGTAATGCGATGGGAAACTTGGGACATTGTGAATTTGTACCAAACGCAACTCAACTCACTTACTCGTCGCGAAGAGAAATTCTCCTGGAGAATCCGGGAGTGAAAGTTCCCCGTGTTCCTTGTGCCCAGCAAAGAAAGTAGCTTTTCTCTCGTCTCACACGACTTTCTTCTTTGTTGTGTGTGTAAGGAATACAGAGTTTTAGTTAAATTAGAATTCTCCACCCGGCGGTGGTGGTGACGATGACGAGGTGACGATGAAAGGGGACGAAGGACGACAAAATTAAATAATGAATAGTGCAATAATAGTTATTAATATTTATGCAAGCGCATGCATACACACCAGCATAAAATAAACAGGGCTAATCTCTGCCCCGTGGCACTCAACTCCTGTTCCAGAAGAGTGCTATTTTAGCCCAGAATTAAGTAAAGAGAGGTTGGGATTCCGCAGAATTTCAGTCGTGACCTTGTCTTGAACAGGATGCATTCGTATTTTTGCCCTCGTTATATGCCCTACAGCTCAATCAATTCCGGACGAAGGCAATAGAATATTAGTGTTAGGACTGGTTCGTATATTTACTCTCCTAATACGACCAGGTAGGTCAGAGACACGGCTGTTTTACTTGCCTGGGCTCCGTCCAGTTAGGTATATTCGCATGCAGCCGTACTTACGTAAACTGTAAACCGAGTATTAAAGTAAGCATAAGGGGTATATTTGAAATAATGTTTATTGTTACGAGGGGATGGCACGTTACTTTTATGGCTCGACAGTGCTACTACTCGATGAGTGGCGAGTGCATATGTGGGTATTTACCTCTTTCTCCTGGTGAAAGTAGGTACACGGTTTGGTTTAGGTGGTCCACTAATTTTTGTAAAACTGGAACAAATAAGTAAAGTAAGTAGGCTGGTAATTTTTACGACGTGGTTTTATTGCCTCACAATTTTACAAATCAATGTAGCCGAGTGGGAGCAGTGATTATTGGAGGAAAAGGAAAGCACAGCCTGCTCCGTTCAAATCTTCAAGGTCAAGATTTGTGCGTGACACAAATTTGTTTGAGGTATAGAAAAATACCTATGAGGAAGTCGATTTCACATTTATTCGAAAGCGTGTATAATTATCTTATCTTATTTAATAATCAAAATCAGCATTAATTACAAAATGGCACACTTGTTCCACCAATTTGGAATGCCAATTCTTGCCGGTGCATCCCCCTCCACAATGAGCGAGTAGGCTTGTAAAGCTTCGCCCGGGTGGAGAAGGAGGAGCGGCTGTAAAAGGTCCCAACTCCGCTCCACGCGACGTCGCCCCAAATCGTTTAGCGTCACTTCGGGTGGGAATCCTGTGTAAACGAGGGAATCATACGTCGTGAGTCGGGGGCAGACGGCATTGTTGTTGGCTTCCTCTTGGGCTGCATCGTTCTCATCGTCGCTGCCTATTCTCGCATCTGGCACGTCTCTCTTGGTCACCTTTAACCCCAAAATCTCGACCGCCTCGCCCCTCAACCGCTCGACGTCCACCTCCGTCAAATTCTCGGCAAATGTCCCCACAAAAAGGAACTTTAAGTGCTGATTCCTCCTCGAGTAGCCTAACCACTCCATAATAATCCGTATGTTTTTTACGTGCTCTTTGAGCAACCGATCCGCCCGGAAGACGACAAAGACGGCGTCGATGTATCGAAAGTTTGACGACACTCGGCCCTTGATCATGCTGACTATTTTGGCATCGTCCCATTCCGTGTCGCAGAGGCCGACCGTGTCCGCCACGACGATCTTCTTATCCTCGTAACGTCTCGTTTTCAAATTAAAGACGGATCCGGTCCCTTTGATGAAGCACATTTCCTTCGTGACGGACTTGTGGCTCACGAAGGAGGCGGTGACGGGCTGGTTGAAGAAAATGTTGATGAGATGACTCTTCCCCGCACCGGTGGGACCGATGACGAGAATGTTGTAGGTGTCTTCGTTATGGTCGAGGAAGTAGTTGAACTGCGTCGCGTTGTAGTGATTAGCTATAAAATATCCATAAAAATTAGAATATTTAAAAAAAATAGATAAAACCGTGACCTGCACTACTGTTAGAAATCTGGTATAGACACGCAGGTATTGATTCTTCGAATGATATTAAAGTTGTTACCGCTTGATATTAAAATCATACTGTTCTGTAAAAATCTGCTACAGATATGGTAAAGCTTTAATACCGAGCTATTACTACACGATATTACTTCTTAATACCACTTTGGTGTGGAGTCATATATGATTTTAGATGAATACCGCTTGGTACTATATTAATACTGGATTTTTATTTTAAGAGTGAACTCACAAATGAAGGAATACATCCTCTTTCCCTTCCCCTCGGAAAACACGTCCGGTCGGATCGTGGACGGAAAAGCGTTCACTTTCCGCAAGTTATCGTCAACAATGAACCGTCTAAAAGTATTCTTGAGTACGCCGCCCTCCTCCATTTGAAAGGACACCCACCTCCCACGGAAAATATAGTTGGCCACGTGCTCACAATTTCTGATGCATAGGGAGTAATTACACATTCCTAAGACTTGGAAGATTCTGTCTCTCGTGGAGTCGTCGACGCTGCCCTGCGTCTCGATTTGGAAGGGGGATCGAGGAACGGTGTTGATCTGGACGCGAGCATTGTACAGGTCGGAAGGTGACCCAAACTCGAGGAAATATTGACCATCCGTGATAAACCAGTGTTGGTAAGGGACCGAGTTGAATTTGCGGTCTTGATAGGCGAGCAGGATGGCGGATCCGGGGAGGAAGGAGGACTGCAACGTGGTCAGGTTGGCTTGGCGAACGGTTTCGTCAAACGTTATGACGTGGTCGATCCAGGTCAGTTTTTCGGACTCGATAAAAGACAAAGAGTTGCCCATTTTAGTATTTTTTGGGGGTCAGTAAAATTGTAAAATGTAAAGTGCGTCACGACAGTATTGATTATTTAGTATTGAGTGTGGCGATGGCTTCTGACTATTGATTAGGTTATGTAGTGGAATGGAGATTCGTGTCGGGCTTATCGGGATTGAAGTTATCGCATGGAAGTTGGCTCATCATTTTTACATGATAAAAAAATGATAAAGAAGTTTCCGACTAACGGCAATGAATTATTGTGCTAAATGCGTTGCGATTTGTGTGATAACTCATGTATTTCACTTGACACTTTGAGAAGATAAGTAAATAGCGAATGATACATATCTTTCCATAATATGCAAAAAGATAATCAGCAGATGTTGTTATAACTTGACCATTGTTAGGCCAAGTTATAACAAATATGAAATTATCAAAAGTGCATGCATGCAGATACATAATACTTTTCGCAAAAAAGTTTGCTAATAAGTTATGTACTACTCAATTTAATTAAACCGATAATTCATGGAAATTACGAGTATTTATTTGGAATACTACACGTTGTATGTGTACTTTTTAATAGTAATACTTACATAATTGCCTGAGGCAAGCCAAAAATAAGTAGGTTGCGCAACACGTAAAACTAAAAGATTTTCTAATGCCTACTTTCGACACGATCTACGATCCCAACTTTATTTTAATCCACATTTTAGCAATAAAATTACCGAAAGAATTTATATCTCTGTGCCATAATAATCCCAATCCTCAACACGTGTCGCTCATAATTCTACACTTCTACAACCCGAAAATTGCCCCTGCCAGATAACCCTGTGCTTTATACCAGAACGAACCAAAAAGCAGCAGTAATACTAATACTTTCCCTCAAATGAAGGATTATTACTTTCTCTCTGGAAACTCTCCTGCTTAAAAACCCTACTCGTACGTATATACGTACAGCACCAGTGGTCGTAGGTAAAGTTCACATTGTTGCATGCAATCATCAGATTGATCCCACTTGGCCTTGGTCTGCCACATGCAATTAGTGGCTCCGGCTTAAAAAGAGTCACTCCACGAGTCACACCCATACAAAATTTATATGGATTGCTCAATACAACTATTCAATCGGGCAACACAATGAAGGCAGCAGCAGCCTTAGAGTGGGTGCAATTAGTACAAAAAACGAATACCTGCAGAGCTTTGGTAGCACTGAAAATGACAGAATTTGATGAAAATCTGATGCATAAACAGAAATAGACAGAGCATTCATGAACAATATGCGACATAAATTGGACCTCAATTATATTCCACAATGTGTGCCTGCCCCTCTTCGAGAGCATTTATCCTGTGTGGAAATGAGAAGTGTTACAAGCAACACTTTCCTTTCAGATTTATCATCCATCATCAATTTTCTCTCGTCTTAACATGCCCGCAAAAAGTTGTGTTATTATTATTACGCAACAACCAAGATCAATATCGAGCTAGTTTAGTGGTCGGACTGATTGAGAACATGAACCCCGAACCAACTTTGAACTTTATGGAAACAGTCCAGTTTGGAAACTTTGATTTTTCATCAAAATTCTTGCAACTGAGTGATCATGAAAATATTAGTGTTTCGTTTCGTGCTAATTTTTTTGCGTTGCAATGCCAGAAATGTGAGATGCAAGAAACTGCTTCTCATTTCTTGCAGGTCAAAATATCTGCAAAAAACCAAGTGATTACTGGCACCCGAAACACATAGAAAATCTTGTAACCCTGTGATTTGACCATGTCGAAATTCGGTGTCGAAATTTAAATTGATACCAACTCGTGTCAAGCAAGGTGTATGTACAGAGCAATTTGATGAACGAAAAAGAATGAGACATGCTATCCCATCATTTTTTCCCACTCGACGCTGCACCGAATTCCTATGAATGGAAACTTTGACTGCAACCACCTTCATTCAAATAAATACTCGAGCACCAGTAATTCCAATGCACCAACACGACACGTGTGTCAAGTCAAGTGTTATCCTTGAAATTTTCCTGGTGGATTTTTCATACGGAGAAATTATCTGTAAACACAAGACGACAGGAGAGCAACGTTCGTGACTCTGACATTGAATTGGGTGGCATTCGATATGTTTGTACTGTCAATACACGCGCTGTCATTAAGAGGAGGAGAAAGTCGTGAATTTTTTATGCAGCGAAAGCTTAATAATATGTAAGTACACCTTGCAAACGGAGTGTTTCTCATAATTTGTTAAGAAATTTTATAAAGCAAAAAGCAAAAAAAAAGTAAAGCTTAAAAATTATGAATGTGTTCTCCTGCTCGTGAATGAAACTATATATAGTAAACATGGTTTAAGTTATTTAAGGCAAAGCAAGAATAACAAATAGGTGCGTATTGGAAACGTGTCAATTACTTATGCATGACGCGTCATCATGAATGACATGCAAATTTCCACGATTTTGTTTTCACTTTGCTAAAGCAAACCTTGTCATTTATTTATTCCAGATAATTCACAATTTCTGGGCAAACAGAAGTTTAAAGGTTAATCAAATCCATTTAGTGTTAAACTGAAAATTTGTATGCCACGATAGGGAATCATTTAAAATGATGAGGAACGACGCCACACAGCGGGTTTAATCGATTTATGAATGAGTTAACCAAAACGTTGAATGAATGGATTGACAATTAATTAATGTATATAATTTGAAATAAGTATTCTTATATCCTAAATAGTTCAATAAAATCGGCAAAACATGCAATTACATCAACTATGCAATTTTTTCATGAATGATAAAAACATATTTTGACGTAGCAATTTTAGTTACTAGTTGTATATCATAATTGCCTATCTACTTAATTTTACATGAAAAATCCAATTAGTAATTGAGAAAGTGATGTGTCTAGCTCTACTTGTGCGTCAAAAATTATAACTGAAAATGGGGAACCATCAACATGTAAAATTTTAAAAAAATTAGATGATCGAATAAATAATTAGAATATATTAACATATATCATAATTTATATATTTTTTAATTTCTTCAGTTTTATATTTATATTTATCTTTATATTTATACGTACACAGATTTAAAAAATTGCTACTGCATAGGCATAAGTAGTGTGCATGCATTGTAGGCAGCAACACTAATCCTAAATATATGTGCCTGCTTATCGATCAATAACTACAACACGGCACGAGCAAAATGAAACTGCACAAATTTCTACTTTTGTTCATACCGAACTTAACCCAGATACCATAATCTGAAAATTCGTATACGATTTTCAGTTTCTTGCCCTCATTATAAAAAACTAATCGCATATCAATATCAGAAATATCATCAATCTGGCCTTGAACTGGTGGCACAAAACTGAAAAATTTAAAACTAATATTCAGCCAAGCTACAAAGTTTGGGTAGTCTGGAGTCCAAGGCACATGAAAAGCGTTAGTCCGTCCGACTTGGGTTTACCGAGTTGTAGATAGAGAACCATTATCGTACTCAGGCTACTGGACGGATGGACATGAATGTTTAAAATGGACTTGTGAAGACCACTTTTGCCCGATTAAATTTGAATCCATACCCATTTCCAGAGACTTGTTACGGATACATTAAGCTTATTGAGGACCTACCACCACCACCGCCACTCGCTTTCACTGTCTGCGTTTGATATCTAACCGAGTTTTACGTACGTACCATCAGACGAACGACTGCTGGACATCAAGCTGGGCTCAAATTTTCACCAGAATGCGAGGACATGTAAATTTCCACGTTATAAAAGTTGATGCTTCAAGTTGGGGGTCCGTTTACGAGACGGAGTTTACGTAACTTATGTAACAACAGTCCATTCACCATCGCATACAAATCCAATCCACTTGCTGTCCAGGAAGGAGAAAGGCTAATCCATTTCCTTTTCAAATTTTGAGGGAATCAGACACGCAAAAGATATGCATTCGTTCGTGGCTACGGAACGTTCATCCAGTTCGTAAAAATATTTTTGATTGAAATTTTACATTTTCGCAAATTTTATTTCGCATTCGTAATTAAATTGTAGTGCAAAATTTATACCTTTCAAACTGCGTGGATCATAATTACTCGTGTGGATCATGATTTTAGTAGATTTGATGCGGATTTGTACTCAAATTCTGAAGCCAAATTGGATTCAAATTTCTCAAAGAAAGTGGCCAAATGACCAGCGCGAGGAATTACTTCCTGTTTTAAATTGGCTTGTGAAATCCAATGGTTTTTGGAGCGAGAAGAGTTGGTTGATCATGCAAATCTTGACAATGGGTGGAAACAGCTAAGTAGGAACAGAAAATGGATAGATTTGCATTTTTATTGCTCGTATCGTAACGCTTGTTAGCCAATTGTTTGGTTGGCGATGAAAGTGGTGGTTTTTCTTTCAGTGAGATGAACTGGAATGATGGAGAAAGTCAATTACTTTCTGGTTAGTTGTATCGTATGCAGAAGTATTTTAAAGCGAGTAGTTTTTTGAGGTGGATAAATCAAGGATAAAATTAAAACCAAGATAACTATGTAGGATAGAGTGGAGATCAATTTTATCTCAATTTACATTTATTTCGCACAATTTTTACCTTACAACTAAAAATATTTTGTAATTTAGAAACTCGAGTTTCCTATTTTCCTGAAGAAGAATTGTCCCCAGAAAACTTTGCTGAAGGATTTTGATTTTGCCAAATTTGAAGATTTATTAAATCACCCAATTCCAGTTATTAAAGTTTGGTCATATCCTATTCCATTTTGACAGAGAATGACGCCGATGCAAACAATTAATAATTGTTGCGAATAAATTAAAGTTAACAAAGGTCTGTATACCGTGCATAAACAGTATTTTGTTGAGATATTAAAGAAGGCTTGAAAGAAGAAAATATAAATTTCTTGACTTATTTTCCCAAGAAATTTAAGACCGGATTACAACCGTGCATCCCACCCATTAAAAGTCCAAGTTTCCCACAAAAATACAACGAAATCTTGCCACATTTCCGAAATAAAAGCCTTCCCCGAATCTCTATTCGGAGAAGGAGTCAAAATAACACAAATTTCGACTACTTAAAATCGTCCCTCGTTTCATTTTGTTCTCTTCCTGCTAATTTCTTTCCATGTTCTGTTTTTCAAC